ACCTCCGCCCCACCCCCCACCCCGGCCTCCCCCCAACTTTACAGCTCCAGGCAGAAAAAAGCAGGACTCATGGTGAGTCAAGGGGAGAGACACATTTTTCAGACTCACACGGGATGCTATAGCCCAGGCAAGCGGACAGACAGCTGGACTGGCAGTAGAAAGTCTGGGCTCCGTTCTCAGACTGGTGTCCCCCCAGCTCTGGGACCTTGGGCCAGTCCCCCTCTCTCTCTGGGCTCCCCCACTTCTACCTCTCCAGTGCGGGGGCGGCGGTCAGAGTAATTCAAGGGCTCTGAAGCCTGACTGCACATGACAGTTCTCTAGGGGGTTTTACAAAATACAAATGACCACCCCCTAAAGATTCAGATTTAACTGGACTAGGGTGGCATCCACACATTGCCTTTTTTTTCAGAAATATGTTCCCCAGGTAATTCTCAAGGGTGGCCAGTTTGAGAACGACTGGATCAGATGATCCTGGAGCCGGCTCACCTCCTTGGACTCTCAGGGTCTCCCTGGTTGGCCTGCCTAAGTCACCTGCGCCTCATGATCTGGCCTTGAACTGGAGCTCTGGGCTGGCTAGCGGCAGAGGTGGTTTTCAGCTGAGGCCGGGGAAGCAGAAAGGCGAAGACAGGAGAGAGGGGGTGGGGCGGGAGTTCTGGGAGGAGGAACAGATTGAAGCTATTAACATTTGATCAGTTTGGTATTGTTCTTCTGGAGACCACAGCTCATGAGGCTGCTTAATAAACGTCTGGTCAGGGTCCAGTCCCAGCCGCCAAATGGGTGTTGCTATGGTTTCCGAGGAGGTTGTTTCCCACACAAGTCACTGCTTCCCACCCTGAACTGCGAAAGACCAGCGCCTTCCCCGTGCTCCTTAACTCTGCCCCTTCCCAGCTGCAGCGGGAGAACACTGCACGCTGGCCCTAGCCGGACTGGCCTGGGCGGCATCAGCTGAGTCAGCCCCCGAAAGCAGCCTCGTGCATCCCCAGTCTGCCTTCTGCCCTGTGGTCCCATCCCTCAGCGCGTGTCATTTCTGTGCCCCAGGTTTCAGGGGCCCTGTGTGTGGACCCTGTTGCCCCTGACTCAGGGAGTGGAGTAGTGGTGAGGCTGGGGCTGGCGGGCACTATACGTGTGTGGGTGTGTCTACTTGAATGTATGTGTTCTTGTGACTGAACATGTGTAGGTGAACATGTGAATGTTTATGTGTAGTGTGTGTGGGTGCTTGAGTGTACTTGTCAGTGGATGAGTGTGTACCGAGGATGACTCTGTGTGTGTGTTTAAGGATGTGTGTGTGTGTGTGTGTGTGTGTGTGTGTGTGTGTGTGTGCGTGAATGGCCAGAACTGGGAGTAAGCACCAGGCGATGCTGCTTAATCTTCAAAAAACATATTGTGACACATTTAAGACAAATGAACATTTATAGAATCCAACAAGAAACACCGATATAAATACCACCCTGCTTAAGAGGTAAAACTGGACCAAACAACAGCTAAAGCTTTCTATGCACGCTTTTCTGATTGCATTCCCTTCCACCCTCAAAGTTAATCCTATAGTGGATTTGGGGCTATGTTTTGCATAATGGTACTCATCTCCCCGGTTGGTTTCAAGGCTTCTTCGACTCTTTCTATGAAACACAATTAATTGTGAGTATGTGCACGTGAGTGTGAGCACATGTGTAGAGTTGGGTGTTACAAGGGAAGGACATGAAGTGGTGGATAATATTGGAGAAACCTTGTAAAGCAGAAAGGTTTTAATAATGCCCCGGGGCATCTTGATGTCTGACTGGAGGCAAGGATCCTAAACTCTCTGAGCTTGCTTCCCACCTATAAAACGAGATGAGGATGCAATACAATATGTGCTGAAAGAAATGGCACAGGGTTGCAATGCAATTATCTTTAATTAAAAAAAAACTATTAAAGAGGTGGCAAGAAGGCCACCCAATCTTGCAGAAGAAAATTAAAGGATCAGATAGACATTATTTGGGGGTGGTGGCGGAGGTGTGCTGACTTAAGCTGGGTCCTCCCCCCTTCCCTCCCTCTTTCCCTCCTCCTTCCTTTTAAATCCATGTATTTATTTACGTCTGTGCTGGGCCTTCATTGTGTCACATGGACTGCTCTCTGGGTAGCTTCTCTTGTTGCGGGCCACAGGCTCTAGGGCACGTGGGCTCAGTAGTTGTGGCACATGGGCTTAGTTGCCCCCGGAGCATGTGGAATCTTCGTTCTCAGACCAGGGATCACACCCATGGACCCTGCATTGGCAGGTGGACTCTTAACCACTGGACCACCAGGGAAGTCCCTCTCCTTTTTCCTTTTGAATTCCTACAGTGCTTTCCTCTTTTGAAGTGGTTTTATGTCTGTGGAGTAGGGAAATTCAAACAGGGGCAGTTTGAGCCCCAACAAAGAACTTCAGTGGAAGGCTCTCTGCCTGCTCACTGCTAAATCAAACTGCAAGGAGAGAGGATCATTTGAGATGTGGCTGATTTGGAATACACAACCAAGGTCAGTGAGCAGGCCAAACAAATCCGGGCTGTCTGGCAATACCTGAGCTAAAATAAAATGACTTGAGAATTGAGGCTAAGATTCAGGATACAGATCCTGTAAAGGAACAAGAGGTTTGACTGGTGTGTTCATCCACTCAGTCACTTACCCACCTACATCCTGGGTTTACAAAGGTGGAAGAGATCCTTCTGGTAAGAGAGAAAGACAAGGAAACAGGTAAAGACAGAACATTTGCTTGTATTGTTGGAAATACACAGCAGTGATGGAAAAGGCCGGCACTTCACTGATTTTGTCCTGTGTGTCTCTGCTGAATAATTGATGCTTTTGAACTGTGGTGTTGGAGAAGACTCTTGAGAGTCCCTTGGATAGCAAGGAGATCAAACCAGTCAATCCTAAAGGAAATCAGTCCTGACTATTCATTGGAAGAACTGATGCTGACGCTTCAATACTTTGACCACCTGATACTAAGAGCCGACTCATTAGAATAGACCCTGATGCTGGGAAAGATTGAAGGCAGGAGGCAAAGGGGAGACAGAGGATGAGATGGTTGGATGGCATCACCAACTCGATGGATATGAGTTTGAGCAAGCCCTGGGAAATGGTGAAAGATGGAAGCCTGGTGTGCTACAGTCTAGGGGGTTGTAAACAGTAGGACACGACTGAATGAACAACAGCAACGTCTCTGTTAAACAATGACCATGTGCCTCAGATTGTACTAGACACCAGGATGAACTGAGAACCAGGGACATGAGATGCCAACCAGGTGGTATAACGACAGGATAAATGTGAATCAACAGCTGACGGGGGAGGGGCAGAAAGAGTGCTGTTTATTGAACACATATTATGTACCACGCACTGTGGGATGCACTGGACCTAAATTAACCCTTATGATAACTACTAAGTAAATATACCCATTCAACAAGCAGTTAAGGTATTTGCTTGGTAAATATCAGAGCAGAGAGTCAAACGCAGGTCTTCCTGATTTTCCAGCCTACTGCTGTTTTTTGAAAATAATTCTGTGGTAAGAACTAGCATATGGCTAGTCTAAGGTAGTTTCCAGTGAATAAGAAAGCAAGAATCTGATACTGACGTGAGTACTGAGAAAGTCCAATGTAAGATAGAATATTTTGGTTAGCATTTGTCTAAGAAAGCTTTGGAAAGCAAGTTGTAGATTTGGCTTCAAAGGCGTGGTCCTTTCATTCCAGGAACCTCAGTTTTTTTATTTTCTGAGGCTATGGTTTAAATCCTATATTCCTGGTATAACACTATGAGAAGATTCTTGAGACAAGAGAGAAAAGGGACCTAATATCATCTGTCATGGCAGAGGAACTGAAATCCAAGTTTTATGATCCCTTCTGAACAACTCTGAGCTTTTACAATTTGCCAGAATCACAGAAAGACTTATGTAGCCCAAGTGGGAAAAAATGTCTTGATTGCTAAGACTGTAAAGAGATTTTTCAATTACTTCTTAGTTTTTATTAAAAAAAATTTTTTTGAACCCCAAATCACCCCACAGTTTCCTTAGATGGGCTTAGACATGAGTTTCAAGTTTTCAAAGTTCAACTAGTTTGCAGTTTCCTGTGTCCTAAAAATGTCTCCAATTAAAAGCAAGAAAAAAATGTCATTTTTTTTTATCCTCATCAAACTAAAAAATGGCTGAAGGGATTTTATTCAAACTTTCCCCCAAAATTCACCTTTTGCCAAGACCCAGCATGGAAAATTTCAGCCCAAAAGGATCACTCTTTGGCAAGTTACCCGAGCTAATGAAAACAGAGGGGCATAAAAGGAGTCTGTGTGTAGTTCCAACTATAGTGGTCACTGGAGCCCACATTGTGTGAGAAGAAGGACCTCATTCAATAACCCCCCCTTTTAAGTCTTATCATCAATATGGATGAGACTTGGATTTGAAGTGGTCACCAAACAAAAAGCACTTACTTTATGAATACAATCTGGGCAGTGACATTATTTCAAGTGGCTTTACTCAATTATGATTGACGCTGGGATAAACTTATTATACATGGAAAGGTAAGAATTGCTCTAAAGAGTGTAGATTCATTCATTTATTCACAAGTGTTTACTGAGTGCCCACAATGTGTGTGGCATCTTAATGGAGGGAGTACTATGGTGGGAAAACAGAAGTGGCTTCTGAACGTATGGATTGCTGGGCGGGGGGGGGGGTGGGGGGTGGCAGTGGCAGGGGAGGGGAAGGAAACAGATTATTACGTATGGATTACTGGGGGGGAGGTAGGAAACAGATTGAATTACAAACTGTGACAAATTCCATGGTGCAACAGAGAGGGGTGCTGAGGTAGAGAAAATTGGGAGTGGTGATGATGGCAGCCTGTATTGTTAGGAGACTAGTGGAGGCGTAATGCATACTCATTCACTAGTTAGCCAACATCTAGTGAGTGGCCACCACGCCCTGGGCTTGTATTGGGATACAAGTCTGAATACAGAGCTGAACCAGACCTTAATTCTGTTCTCTGAGTGCTCTCCCACCAGTGGGAAAGCTGGCCAGTGAACAAGGAGCTGTGACAGGTGACAGGTAATTTAATGCAGTCATCAGCAATGTCCAGTGGGAGGATGGGAAGGGAAGGGAAGTTGACTAGCTGCGTTGGCAGTGGCCCAAGAAGGCTTCTCTCAGGAGGGACAATTGAACAGGCATTTGTGAGAGCTGAGGCTGGAAATGTAGAGACAATGAGAAGTACGACTGTCTACACAGAACCTATGGTCCTGCCTTGCTTCCAGACTCACCTGTCTGAGGGCCTGGATCATGTGGTATGAGCCCCGTAAACCCAGCAGCAAGCGTGGAACTTGAGCCGAGGGGTGTTTAGTAACCTGGGGCCCCTTTCTCTAATGTCTCACGGGGTCTCTTTGGCTTTAGCCTAGTGGTTAAGGGCTTGGCTTCGGCAGTCAGACTCCTTGGGTTGGAATTCCAGCATTAGTACTTTCTATCAGTGTTACTTTGGGTAATTTCTCTCTGTGCTACAGTTTCTCTATAGCCAAGCAAGGATAAATAACCCTGTCTTCCTCCTAGGTTTACTGTAAGGACTAAATGTGATCATGCTTCTATAGTGGCCACAAGTAAGACCAACACATATCCCCCAAACATGTCTCTGGGAGCTTCCCCTCACTTCCACACAACCCACTTTTCACTTGGTCCAAAGATTCTGGTTGAATACTTTGTCAGGCAATGTGCTGGGCATTCGGTCTGGCAATGACCATGCAGACAGTGGGGTTTCTATCCTCATGGGTGGCCAAATTCCTCAAGTTCCCTAAATGAAATTTGTTTGCCTATTCCAGAAAATAGCTATTTGTTATCTCTGTAATGCCAAAAAAAAAAAAACGGGTGAGTATCATTTCATTTTTCATCAGAATCTTTGGTTAGGTGAAAAGCTGCCAGAAATTTAGAAATATCTTGCTCCTTTAGACATCGGAAGGCTGGGAGATTTCCCATTATTAATTAGAAATAAAAACTTCTTTGTGGCCCAGCGCAAGGGCAAAACTGTGATTTCACAGGTCAGTGGAAAGCTCACCAACACTGTTTTGCTTGGTATTAATTTTCTTTAGGGAGTAGGAGGAATAGATGGAAGGTGTTTTCCAGAATGATACATCGATGTGGCCATGTATATGCAGTCGAGGGAGATGACTGAGGTGGTGGGGAGTGTTCCCCACGAGTGGACAAGGGCAATCATTTCACCCTCAAGCCTCAGTTTCCTTTCATGTAAAATAGGGATAATAGAACCTCCTATACAGGGTCGTTTGTGGTAGGTGCCACACAGGGTCGAGTCCTGTTCCCCAGTGGCTTGTCCTGGGGAGACTCAGGATGTGGACTCATCTGGGGGCGGTGACACTTCCTCCTTTTCAATTTTCTGGGTCCCTGGACAGGTCAGAACAGGGCAGTGGTGAGGAGTTCTGGGGAAACCTGTAGGGGCCTTAGGTGGGTGGGTGGCTAGGTAGCACTCTCCTGGGAAGTCCGTATTCTCCTCTGAAATTGCTGAACTCTGCAAGGATCCGCCCCATTTTCTTTGCTGAGCTCGCTCTTGTTTTGTTCCCAGTCCTGCTTTGCAACAAGCAGTTCCAGCATTTAAGAGACTGCAGAGGGGGACTTGAGGGTGTGTGGACCATGGTGTGTGTGACTGGCAGGCTGTTTTAGCGGCAGCTCGGTCTGTGCCTTCAGGCTCAGCGTCAGGCGCCGCATCACCCTCCCTCTGCCACAGCATCTTCCCATCTCCAGGAAGGCAGGACACAGGACCCAGAAGCCAGGCCAGCGGCCCGAGCCAGGCTGCCGGCGACCAGCCAGCCTTGCCGGCCTCGCTCGGGGGCCCTGCGAGGCTCGGCGGGCCCGGGTCCCCGGGTCACCGGCGATGGCACTCGCGGTGGCTCCCCTGCGCGAGGAGCGCGCGCGGACCTCCCCGCAGGCCCTGCGCCCGGCCGGCCTCGGGAACTGACCAGGCCGCGTGTGAGCGCCGGGATTCCTGCTCCTGCCTTAAATATGCCGGTTATTTTTATCTCCCTACGTCAGGCGGCGAAGGCCATCCCACCAGTGGCCGCGGCGGCTGCTACACAATGTTTCCCTTTAGTCGGGAGGGGAAATGGAGGGAGGCCAGACTTCCTGATCACATGGTGCTGAAGTCAATGAAAAAAAATTAAGGGGGACCCCTCCCTTTTTCTGCAATGCCCGATCCAGGTCCCCCCCCCCCCAACCCCGTCCCCCGCCTCCACCCTCAGCCCCCTTGGGCTCCCCGCGTCGGAGAGCAGCAGAGGCTCCAGGCGGAGGGCCAGCGAGGCAGGAGAGAGAGCAAACATAAACACGAGATTGTTGCAGTAATTGGTGCTCTGAAAACACTGAGGAAATGAGAGGCTTGTACGAAACATCAGCCGACAAGAAACGGGGTGATGTCAGACAGCCTTCCAGGATTAGAAACCCTTAAAAGCTCCGAGCCCGCGGCCGCGGCGGAAAGCGCTCGGCGATCCCGGGTAGGGAGCCCTGGATCGCCGCGCGACTGGCGCTCGCTCGCCTTCGCCTCTCTGCCTGCCTTTTCCTCTCTCCTTTTTTTCTCTTTCTTTCTCTTTTTCTTTGTTTTTTTCTTCCTTCTTGCTTTCTGTTTCTCCCTTTCTCTTTATTTGCATTCTCCTTCTCTTTTATTTCCTTTCCTTTCTTCATTAAAAAGAAAAGGACAGATCACATCAAATGCTTTCCATTTCTAAGACACCTGGTACTTTTAGATCTTTGATTTGAAACAACAAACCGTACTCAACCCTCACACAGACCCCGCGGAGGCAAATTCTGCCCTTGGGTGTCTGTTGTTGGGTTTTGCCCTTTTCTCTTCCACTCACTCCCTTTCACTGTCTCCCCCTACCCATTTTGGGCGGTTAGAACTACACGTTGCAATAAAGCCCACACATGTGAAGGGCTGGAAATAAACAAGAGGCAGAAGGACAAGCTCCCCAAGAAAATGGGATTATATATGTATATATGTATTTTTTGTAAAAATCCGGTATTTTCAAAAGAGAATATGGACTTCCCAGTAACATGTCACCCAGCCTTCAGCTTCTGTGGCCTCACTTACTTTTCCTGGACTGAGATAATTAAGAAGGCTAATAGCACACAGAGAGCACACACACACACACACACACACACACACACTCATGCACACACACACACACACACACACACACTCACTCCTTGACAACCCCTCCCTCCCCCAACCCCGCAGGGCAGGGTAGCTAACATGGGTGAGCAAGGTCTTGTGCCAGGTCCACCTGGAACCCGGCCGGGTCTTTAAGTTGGAGGCCAGGTCTCATCTGTTCAGTTACACAAAAGGTGCCGCCTGTCGGACTTTCTCTCCTGGTGTTTGCCAGGATTAATGAGGCGCTGTTTGGAAAGGGCCTGAGCCCCTCCGACCAAAAGCACCCACGACACCTTTTCAAAGAATGATTTATGTCCAGCTTTACCCAAATAGGAACCAAAAGAGGGTTTTCTGTTTTCTCATCTTTAGAACAGATGAATTTAGCACCTGGATCCTCGCATTTCAGAAGCTTTAGAATCAGCCTTATTAATTGCTCTGTCACCCTCTCCTGGCAGCGCAGGCTTTTCACCCTCTCTTTTCGAGACCCAGTGAAAGGTCACATCAAGGTCTGAATGTCCTTGGGGAACTGGACGAGTCTCAAAGATTTGGGGGGTTCCCTCACTGCTGCTCATGGTGGGAACAATGCCCCTAACCCTTCCCTATACACTCATAAATCTTGGGGTGACTTAGCCCCCCTAAAATTTGACACTCCTAAACTGCAGTAATTTGAGCCGGGTATTCTTTTCAGTCTGATCCAATATACCTATGGTGATACGACCCACCACGAGGTAGATAACAACCCTGTTTTCCAGTTTTCATGGGAACATTTTGCATCTTTGATGTTCCCTTTGAGCCTCGTCTCTTCCCTGATGCCCCTGTATCTCCACTCCCTCTATTTCTCAGCCTAGGGAGCCGAGGGGCTTCCTTGTCTATTCCTGCTCTCTCCCCATATCTATCAAGGTCAATGGATCCTGTTGTTTAGCCTCGGAAAATCTCAGGTTCTCTGATGCTCCTTACCTCCTGGCATCAGAAACTCCTAAGGTGGGCCACCTTTCTCTGGCTGGAGCCTGGGAGTCTCAGAGTTTGAGTTCAAATCCCAGATTTGCTACTTAGTGGCTTCACAACCTCAAGCAAGTTACTTCTGTGAGCCTCAGTTTTTTCACCTATAAAATGGGGATAATGATAGACACACCTCATAGGCTTGTTTCGAGGATTAAATCAGATAAGCACATGAAGGACTTAGCCTAGTGCCTACCACGAAGTAGGGGCTCTGTAAACAGAGGCGGATCTTTATTATGTTCGATACTAGTGTTCTTAGGCTACAGGTTGCCTCGGGATCACCTGGAGGCCTTGGTAAAATCCAGACTCATTGGTACTACCCCCCATAGCTCCTGATTCAGTCCGTGCAGGGTGGGTCTTGGGGATCTGTAATTCTTTTTCCTTTTTAAAAAATTTAATTACTTTTTTCCTTCCTGATTTTATCGATGTAATTGACACGCAGCATTGTGTAAGTTTTGGGTATATGACATGAGGATTTGAAGGACGTGCATTTCTAACTAGCTCCTGGTGATGCTGATCTGTAAGCCTGCAGACAGCACTGTGAAAAAACTCAGATCTTCTATGTCTCTGGTTTCCTTTGTCCACACTCCTTGGCAAGGGCTGTGTGGTTCCTTTTGCTCCTTACCCAACTCACCTCACTTGCTCACTAATACTCCCCATCGCTCAACTGATGCCCCACAGCCCTCCAGGCCCCCACGCTGCTAAAGCTGCCTCTCTGCTGGGAATATCCTCTGCCTCCCCCCACTGCTGTGTGAGCTCCCCCCACCTGGAGGCCCAGATGCAAGCTTCCTCTTCTCCAAAGGCTTTCCTACTCCCCACCCCCGACAGCCCCAACACCAGAGCCAGCCTCTCGCTCCTCCACGCTTTGCCCTCCACGCAGATTCCACTGCGGTCGTCACTGAATGCCAAACCATGATCTACGGATGGGCCCGTCTCCCCACTGGCCAGTGGGCCCCTCCAGGGAGGGTCAGGTCTTGTTTGTCTCTGTATCACAACAGTATGTAGAGCCTCCAACTCAAGGAGGGATTCGGTAACTGTTGAATGAATGAGACAATGAGTGAACCAGCAAGCCTACCCTCTAGGGAAATCAGCCTAGCTGATAGGATTGTGGGGGTGCTCTGGGGCCTGGGACATGCCCACCCCCCGAGCCACAGCCCCAATCCGCAAGACTCTCAGTCTGCCCTGATTTAAGGAGAGAATGCAGTTATTCATAGAACTCTAAGCTTGCTTTCCCTTTATATCACTGAATCATCCTGACATTTCCCTCCCTGCTTATGAGAGGGTGGCTGAGGCTGTGGGAGAGGAAGTGACTAGCAGAGGTTATGTAGCCCAGAAGAGGAAGCTCCAGGCTCGGGTCAACGTGGATACACAGCTCCCCACAAATTCCACACAACACACACATGCACCCACGTACACACACATGCACCCATGGATGCACACACAAGTGATCTAGCGATTACCTCATGGAGGTTAACGCCGGAAGCCACTTCTAGAAGGAACTTGCTGGCATGTCCCCTTGTGGCAGTTGGTTCGTGCAGGGCTCTCCCTCTCCATCTCCTTCTCTGGGCTTGCAGCTCCTCGAGAATCTTCCCGGCTTCAGCTGCAACCTGAGAGGCCCAGGAAGGTAGCAGGAGGGGTGCTCCCAGGCCGGCTTTAGAGACTGAGGGAGGGGATCAAATCGACCAACATAGTCTACAGAAAGATTTGGTGGTTGAACTACATTTGAGTTGCAATCTATGTGGCCCAGGTGACATGATAGTGTTTGGGGGTTCCCCATGTAGCTGGCGCTGGGTCAAAGACTCCGCATATATAACACTCACAGTAACACAATAATATGTGTGCATGCTCAGTCGTCCAGTTGTGTCTGACTCTCTGCAACCCCATGCACATTAACCCTCCTGTCAGGCTCCTCCGTCCATGGGGTTATCCTGGAAAGAATATTGGAATGGGTTGCCGTTTCTTCCTCTAGGGGATCTTCCTGACCCAGGGATTGAAGTTGCATCTCCTGAATCTTCTGCATTGACAGGTAGATTCTTTACCACTGATCCACCTGGGGAGCTGAACCCAATAACATAGATATTGCTATTCTTCCCATGTGTAAATGAGGAAACTGAGGCTCGAAGAGGTTAGATAACTTGATCAAAATCACGCAGCTAAGCGGGGAAAGCTAAGTGGGAAATACACATCCTTACTTCCAGCTTATTAATATGGGAAGCAACAAACTGTTGTTGTTGGTTCGTCACTTAGTCAAGTCTGACCCTTTGCAGCCCAATGGACTGTAGCCTGCCAGGCTCCTCTGGCCATGGGATTTCCCAGGCAAGAGTACTGGAGTGGGTTGCCATTTCTTTCCCCAGGGGAATCTTCCCGACCCAGGGATAGAACCCATGTCTCCTGCTTGGCAGGCAGATTCTTTACCCCTGAGTCACCTGGGAAGCCTGAAGCAACAAAGCAGCTTAGAAAGCAGAAGAAGCCAAGAGATTTGGGACTCCATGACTCAGCTTTATTTCACATCCATTTATCTTCTCAGACAAGCCGGATGGTACAGAGGAGTTAGAATCTGGGATTCCTAGAATGGATGAGATTGAAAGGCTGAGCAGTCATCTTATCTAAACCCTACTCTGCCCACATGTTGCCCAGTTGAGGCACACAGAGGGCTTGGTACCTGCCTAATACCACACAGCTTGCGAATGAGCATCTGAACTGGACTGGGCCTCCTACCCAGGCAGAGCTTCCTTCTTCCTTTCCTCTTGCAAAAGTTTATCAGGACACCTATGCTAGGCCAGGCACTCGTGGTTTTGAGATTATTTCCCACCTGACTC